ATCTTGCTTACTCAGCCTAGTCAGGTGATCAGGTCATATGACCAGGGATGAGGTCATATGAGGTCATGCACAGCCATGCACAGCAGGTCACCTGACCATCCAATCCTTCCAGCAGGTTCCAGCACATGCCAAGATATACCAGCTACTTCCATGTCATAAAGGCTTAGTCATGGCTCTTGACCAAGCAATGAGCTGTTGCCCTGACATCAACCCACCCTGATATTTGGCATGCCAACCTCTGCCTTAGTGAGGTATCTAGACACCAGTATAGTATTCGGCACAGCCTAGAGTAGCTAGTATAAGTAGTTTCCAGAAACTCCTGTACTTAGCTTATTCTGCCCCTTTTCTGTTAGCATTATACCAGTCTGATTATCGTGTATCAGCAGACTTGACTGGATGTATTGTGCTTGACTTAGTGTGCTTGACTTGACTTGTCATGACTGACTGGACTGACACAGACCTCCAATTTATACATACCAACTTTTGATAGCTCAGCATCTGGCTGACTCCCACATTTCTACTGACTTTCCCCCTCTTTCCCCTGCAAGTTCTTGCACACCTCCCATTGGATCAATATTGTCAGGGCACACTGCCAGATATTGAAAGTATCCTTGAATCAGGAGCCCAATAAAAGCAAGAAGCAGCAAGGAGAGCACAAAAGCTCAAGTTGTGGTCAACAGTAGGGCTGATGTATCAAATAAGCCCAAAATGCCCCTAGTCACAAGAGAGATGCAGTGAAGTCATGAACAGTCTGAGGGGGTTGAAGTCTAGGTTTGAACACCAATCGGAGAGTTGAAGAGGTTCAGTGAGGGTTCAATCTAGGTTTGTCACTATCTGACAGTGGAATTCCTGAGAGATCAGCTCTAAGGGGCATAAGGCTCCTAGAGATGGTATATATACATGTAGGAAAATGGAAGTATAATGGAATCAAAAGGGTAGCTGTGGGACTGTACAGTTTACCATTGTTTAGGGTGGTGCTTCAAAGAAGTTGAGTGGTTTTGCTTCAGGGTTGGTGGATTTGGGCTATACTGAGGCCAAAGTAAGCCTTTTGGTGTTGATTGTATCAAATTTGCACCAAAACTGGGCAAACCCTGACACCACCCCCCCTTCAAGGTTCAATGTCCCAGCAAACCTGTAATTTCACTCAAATTTGTTCTGTTTGGCCCAATGTCCAGTCAAACAGAGCCATCTTGGTTTGATTTGGTTCTGTGAAGTTTTCAAGGGGCCAAAAGGGGATGTTCACAAAGTTGACTGTGGCAATTTCCCTGGGTGCTTCAGGGTATCAGGTGTGGAACTCCTGAACTGCCTGACTTGCATTCTGAAGGTTGTCTTTTGGCTCCCAAGTGTTCTCTGAGGCAGGGTATCCTTTCCATTTTACTTGATAGTGCAGCTTTCCATATTGAAATTGGCTGTCTTTGATATGTTTGACTTCCCATGATTTTGAGCCATCCCTATGAATAATGGGAGGTACAGGTTTCAGGATTGTTCATCCAGGGATATCATTCTCTTCATGTTTTCGAAGCTTGCTGACATGAAAAACTGGGTGAATTGCAAATGATTTTGGGAGTTTCAGCCAATAAGCATTTGGGTTCACTTGTTCAAGAATTTCAAATGGTCCGAACCATTTATCATCTAGCTTCTTCATCAGGCATTTTGTGTGAATGTCCTTTGAATCAAGCCAGACTCAGGTGCCTTTTGCATATTTGGGGGTCTTGCCATGGGTTTGGTCATAGAATCCGGCCATATCATCTGCAGCTTGTGTCAAGGCTGCCTGACATTCAGATTGAAGTGCCTGCATCTGGGTGACAAATTCTTCAACACTAACAACTTGGGTCTTGATATTTGGTTCAACACCCATTTGGGGGTTTTGACCAGTATCAGCCATAAAGGGGGTGACCTGAGTTGCCAAGGAAACTTGATTATTGTACAAAAACTCTGCAAGAGCAATCCAATCTGCCCAATCATCCTGCTGATCATTCACGAAAACCTGAAGGTATTGCTCAACCTCTTGGTTGACCCTTTTGGTTTGCCCATTGGTTGAGGGTCAATATGCTGTTGAAGCTGTGATCTTGATATCGAGCAGTCAGTATAGTTCACGCATGAATTTGGACATGAATTGCCCTCCTCAATCACTGATTACTTCTTTCAGTAGTCTATGGTTCTTCCAGACATTATCTCAAAACAGCCAAGCAATGCCTTCAGAGTCGACTTCCTTATTTGTCAGGGAAAATTGAGCTCATTTCATTAGTCAATCCACTGCAACCCAGATTGAATCAAACCCAAGGCTTAAAGGAAGCCCAACTATCAGATCAGTGGAAACAATTTCCCATTGATCATTCAGAATCTGGTTTGGGAGGAGTTTACCTTGGACAGTCTGAGGGTAAATCTTGGTTCAATTGCAGAGGTCACAAGATCAGACAAATCAAGCCACAAATCGGCTCATACCAGGCCACCAGTAGTTTTGAGAGACAAGTTCAAGGGTTTCCACCAACCAGGGTGTCCCAAACTCCAAGTATCATGATGGAGGGCCACAATCATGCCTCAAAGTGTTTTGTCTTTTGGGACATATACCTTGCCTGGAAATAGGATGAGTCCTTGGTTCTCAGCCCACTCACTTGCTCGAACAGCTGCTTTGGAGCTGGTTCAGAGTTCCTTCAGGGCTTGAACCACTGCATCATCAAGGTCAGTGATCTGTCAAATGTCTTGCAGAATCAAAACATCTTTGCCTTCAAAGATAACACCTTTGTGATTATTCACCTGAATCAAGAGGACTTTGGGTTTCAGCAGAGTGACATTCTCATTATTGTGGGTCCCTTGAGTGTGATTGGCCCGTCTCAATAATGCATTGTCTTTTCCACTCTGCTTTCCTGGCCTGTGTTGGAGGGTGAACATAAATTGGGATAAGAATAGAGACCATCAGGCTTGTCTTTGGTTTAGTTTCTGAGAAGTCATGAAGTATTCAAGGTTTTGGTGGTCAGTCAGGATTTCAACTGGGTGTTTGGCCCCTTCAAGGAAGTGTCGCCAGTCTTTGAGTGATTGAATGACTGCCAGAAGTTCCTTATTGTGGATTTCATAGTTCCTTTTGGTAGGTGTCAGACTTCTTGAAAGGAATGCAATAGGATGCCACTTTTCATCATCACCAATTTGAGATAGTACAGCACCAATTGCATAGTCAGATGTATCAGCTTCAATTCAAAATGGTCAGTTGTTCTTGGCCAGCATCAAGATTGGAGCCTTCATGATTTTTGACTTCAATTCATCAAAAGCTGCTTGTTTGATTGGGCCCCAATACCATTTCGCATCCTTCTTAGTGAGTTTGTGGAGTGGTTGGGCTGATTTCAAAAACTCATGGATGAATTGATGATAGAAATTGCAGAAGCCAATAAAACTCTGGACCTCAGTCACATTTGTAGGGTTCAGCCATTTCAACACACATTTGATCCTGACTGGGTCCATTTCAACAAATCCTTCCCAAATAATCAAGCCAAGATATTCGATTCAGTTATGAACAAAGTCACATTTCTCTGGTTTCAGGTACATTCCGTGGGTATGGAGAACTTCCAGGACTTGTTGGATGACTTTGTGGTGTTTGGCAAGGTCCTTTGTGAATATCAGGATGTCATCCATGTAGACAACCACAACTCCTTGATCAATAAGTTCTCAAAACACATCATTCATCATTGTTTGAAAGGTGCTTGGGCTGTTCACCAATCTGAAGAACATCACAAGGGGTTTGAAGAGGCCCCAATTTGTCCAAAAGGCAGCCTTCCATTCATCACCTTCTCTAATCCAAATGTTGTTGTAACCCCACCAAATATCCAATTTTGTGAAGAATCGGGCATTTTGAAGTTTGTTCACCAGGTCTGAAACAAGGGGAATGGGGTATTGATTCTTAATCATCATTTCATTGAGCCATCGATAGTCTTGTACCAGTCTAAGTGAACCATCCTTCTTCTTCACAAAAAACACTGGAGACCCCATCAGAGATTTTGAAGGGCAGATTCAGCCAGAGTTGAGTTTTTCATGTAGGAAGTCATCAAGTTGCTTCTGTTTGGCTAGCAAAAGTGGGTACACCTTTGAGCTTTGGGGTTTGGATCCTGGTTTCAGCTCAATTGCATGATCCCATGGCCGAACATCAGGTAATTGGTCAAATGAAGTCTTCAAGAACACATCTCAATAACTTTGGTATTCTTTGGGCACCAGTTCCTCGAAAGTCTTCTCAGTCTTTCAATCTTGGGCCTGTTCAGATGCCAATCAAGCTGACACACTCTCAGTCACCCAAATCTCTTCCTTTGTGTCTTCAATAAGATACATGAATAGCCAATCACCAAGGTTGAAACCTGGATCAGGATTCAATAATTTTGCAATTTCCAATTTGCCTCCCTCTCCAGCCTCTTGCTGAGATTGGGGTATTCGGACATCATTCACACAGGTCTTTGGGCACCAATTCATTTCAACCTTGCCTGATTTCCAATTGATTTGGGGGTTATGGTGGACCAACCAGGGGTGTCCCACAATCACAGTTTTCGAACCAAGTCCTGATACCAAGAATCAGACTCTTTCAGTGTGGTCTTCAAAGGACATCATGAGTTCAACTTCATGAGTGATCGAGCCTTGTTCATTTGGTGTCCCATCAACATTGTAAACTGGAATCACTCAGGGGATTCACATTGTCAAGAGTTGTTTCTCTCAAACAAGCTTAGGATCAATGAAAAGTCCAGTGGCACCTGAATCAAGGAGGGCCTGAACTTTGAAAGACCTGTTTGAGTCAAGTGTTTGGAGATGTATCAGCAGTTCAGTCTTCTTTCAAGTGTCTTTGAACCACATGGCATAGGGGTTTGGGGATTCATGGAGTCTTAGCATCAGTTCAGGTTGTACTTCAGGTTCAATAATTTGATTTTTATTATTGGAGCAGAATCTACAGCCTGTTGCCTTAGGGGCTTTGTTGATCAAGGGGTGCTTTGGCTTGTCAACCTTGCTAAAAATCCTTTTTGGGAGGGGTCAGGGTTTTTGCTTCCTCTTTGGCTGGTTTCAATGTTTCAGCTTTGGTCATCATCTCAATGAGAGTCCACCTTTCTTCAATTTCTGCATGAAGGTCTTTGATTGTTGCTGTTCAAACTCAATGCCTCTTTGGTTTGGGGCAGTTCAAGGCAATATGCCCAGGCTTCTGGCAGTTAAAGCACTGTACAGTTGAAAAGCCTGGCCGATTCTTCTGATCAATGTCCATCAGCCAGCCTGGGTGAAGTTTGATTGTGCTCACTCCCTTTGGGGTAATCTCAGCTACTCTCAATGTCTTCGACAGTGAGTCACTGTAACTTGGTGCCTTTTGGGACCATGTTGGCTGGGTGGTGCCCTTTTGCCAGGCTTCAAGTTTTTGCCATTGCTGATCAAATCTCAAAGCATACTTGTACCAGTCTTTGAGTTTTTTTGGCATCTCTGGTAGGGCATAAATCTTATCAAGGAGAGATTGGTGAAGTCCTTGCTGAAATTGCTTGATAAGAGCAATTGAATTGTATTTTGTTTGGAAGGCAAGTTCCTTGAAGGTAACAATATACTTGTCAGCTGTTTTTGGACCTTGAGTGAGAGATTTGATGGCGATTCAAGCACTTGACACAGGATCAGGGTCCAAAAAGCTTTCCTTGAAGGATGTGACAAACTCGTTGAAAGTTATCAATTGAGGTTTCTTCTCTCAAAGTTGCTGTTTGACCACATAATTGGCCCATTTGCCAGCTGCTCCACCCTGCATGTAGGAGAGGGCAAAGTTGATCTGGTCTTGTTCTGATTTGAATCAGCTCAATTGGCCCACAATGTAGAGGCAAACCTGGCAAAGGAAAGAGGTTGCCTTGGTTTGGTTGCCATCAAAGGTTTTGGGTTTGGCAATCAGGATTCAACTACCATTGTCTGTGGGGGTAGAGGATCTTGACAGCTTTTGCTCAACCTTCGGAGGTTTGAGTGTGGGTTTCTCCCTGTTTGGAACAAGTAGACGTCAAACTTGCTCTTGTTCATCTGAGATTGCCATGATTTGAGACATGATCATGTCAAGCCTATCATCAAGAGTGATTTCATCAGTGACCGGGATTTTGGTTAGGTTCAGCTGGGGTTTGTAGCCTTCACTAGTGGGATTGGTAGGGTTGTCCATCTTTGTATGGTGAGTTTGGGAGTCAAGGTGAGTTTTGGGGGAGAGAGCTGATCTTCTGTCAGGGCACACTGCCAGATGTCAAAAGTATCCTCAAATCAGGAGCCTGATAAAAGCGAGAAGCAGCAAGGAGAGCACAAAAGCTCAAATTGTGGTCGACAGTAGGGCTGAAGTATTGAATCAGCCTAAAGTGCCTTTAGTCACAAGAGAGGTGTGGTGGAGTCATAAATAGTCTGAGGGGGTCGAAGTCTAGGTTCAAACACCAATTGGAGAGTCAAAGAGGTTCGGTGAGAGTTTGATCTAGGTTTGTCACTATCTGACAGTGGAATTCCTGAGAGATCAGCTCTAAGGGGCATAAGGCTCCTAGAGCTGGTATATATACATGGAGGAAAATGGAAGTACAATGGAATCAAAAGAGTGGCTATGGGACTGTACAGTTTACCATTGTTCAGGGTGGTGCTTCAAAGAAGTCAAGTGGTTTCACTTCAGGCTTGGTGGATTTGGGCTATACTGAGGCCAAAATAAGCCTTTTGGTGTTGATTGTATCAATTTTGCACTAAAACTGGGTGAACCCTGACAAAGGGGGGGAGAAGGGAGGGGAAGGAAATGGGTACAGAGTTACAGAGTAGATATGATACACAAGTGATTGCAGTAAACTTGCTTATTAAGTGGATTAAGAGTGGGATCAAATTCCTTCATATACAACTATGAGCGAAGCAAGTTGGGCTAACCTAGTGTAAGTTGATAAGAAACCATGGCAGTCAGGTGATTGAACGGGTTGGTCACGTGCAGGGTGAGGGTTATGTCTGACGCGCGTTTGACAGTACACTTTGACCATGACTTACTCAGCCCTCCTGATCGGTGACCCCTCCCGGTCTCCCTCCCCATGTTCCTCCCCCCTCCCACGTCCATCCTCCTCTGTGGTATCGGGGGATAGCTTCGAAGCGGAGGCTACCGATACATTCGACACTGCGCCCCTGACGTTCGCGCCAACCTCAGCGCCGAATGGGGCAAGCGCGAACTTCCGCTCCGTGCATCGTCCTCTGCCCCAGTCACATCTATCCCTCATTCAGCGCGGTCATTGCCATCGCCATCGTCCTGGCAGCAGATGCCACGTTCTCTTTCCTCTATCAGGGGCACTCAGCAAGATTCGCCGCTACGACCTTCATCCAACGACTGCATCCCACCAGAACAGGCCCTCATGATAAACGCTATGAAAGCTGAGCTCGTGGATGCGACTATCGAATTCGATTTTGCTCGTCTATATAAATTGAACGAGGATGCCATCGAGACGACCACCAAGTTTATCCAAGAAGATTGGAGGTTGCGATGGCGTGGTCTGTTCACAAAAGAGGAACGAGAGTGCTATAAACCTCTGGTGAAACTCCTCAACACGGTTCTGGACAAATATCACACCCATACCAAAACCAGACAGGTTTTCTTCTTCTCGGTGTACGATCGATCTATGCAAGAGGCTGGGCCATCCAAGGTGGCCCTCAAACCCGACATCCTCGGGTCCGATGACAAGATCGAAGCGGACAATGTTGCATGGGTCGTTGTGCATTCTTTCGGAGAGGTTAAGGCAAATGACAAAGAGGCCGTTACACAAGCTGCAACATACGCACGTTGTGATCTCCATGCGCACCCGGGGAAGCGGTGTTCCCTTGGCTTTGTGTACAACTACAACACTTGCAACCTGCGATTTCTCCTCTTTCACAGGGGTGGTTTAGTAACTTCTCCCCAATACTCCTTCAAACCCCGAACTCTGGGCCAGTTAAGAAACATTGTCCGCAACGTGGTAGCGATCGCTCATGGACCGCCACCAGCATATGCTGCCGGTCTCGACTTGACGAAAGAACTGTTGAACCGCTCTGGGAGAACGTATCGTTTTGTCAATGTTCTCTCCCACAGTGCGGTTGTGCGCGGACGGGCCACATATGTAGCTGAGTTTGAACAAGGTGAGCATCACTATTAATATTCCTCGTCTTATCTCTTCTGACCCGATGTAGTTGTATCGCCTGCCGATACAGAGCAGCAATACTCCTCCGGAGATGTCGACCTGGTTGACAAAGTGGAGAACATCACCCTCGTAGAGCGGAAAGCTGTGGCGGTGTGTATGGCAAACACTGTTGCCGATGGGACGGATGAACGGGCGGTGGAGGAAACTCAAACATTTACGGCAACGTCGGAGTATCAAGTGCGATGGCAAGAGGGTGGGGTCAGACGCGATATTGTAACGATCCTGCAGAACAAGAGGATGCCGACATCGACGATGGCGAAGGCCGGCCAAGAAGAAGCAAAGGGGAGGGAAGAGGGAACCGCAGGACGGCCAGAACAGAGTAGGCTGAGCACCACATCCGACCTCCGAACCCCAATCAAGGACCGCACAAGAGAGGCGAAAGCAAGATTGGCACGGACCAAACCTGCGAGCGCAGTAGCCCAACCGGCTTCATCAGTTCAGAGAGCGTCCCTTCTTGACCCTCAAATGTCCCTCAGGGAACACCGACTGCTCTTCCTCAAGATTTCGCGCACCATACTCCTCATACTATTAGCAAGGACCTCTCTCAGGCGAATACTGGACCAATATCTACAAGAGCGAGGTCCGGACCATTCATTATCAAGGTTTCATATCCGTTGAGGAATCGCAATTACCAAGCCGACATGCTACAAAAGGTCTCGGGACAGTTTGGTGTTCCTCGACTCGTCGATGGTTGGATTTCCCAGCTCGACAGCGGCGCAGATTTTACGACCGCTCCGTTTGAAACAGACTGGGGACCATGGATAATATTCTCATCAGACTCGAAAGCAGCGATCCGTCTTGATGATCGTGTCGAATCCTTTATCATCATGCAAACCAAGGGCGAATCGCTCAGCTCCGCGAGAGGACCGAGGGAGTTGTTGATCGGTATTCTGCATGCAATGACTGGTGAGACGGTTCATTATGCCTGCCATATTGGTATTTGACTCTTGTCTCCAGGGCTCAGCGTGCTGGTCGAGAACGGATACTATCATCGGGATGTTAGCGTGGGTAATGTTTTACTGCTTCCTGACGGAATGGCATGCAAATCTCCGCCCGAGCACGTTGTCTAGCATTCACCCCCAGAGATCGTTGCTGACATGGGTAATAGACCTTATCGTGGATTGGTTGGAGAAGGACCCTGCTTCGGTGTGCTGATCGACGGGGATCAGGCCGTTCCAATGGACGGGGAGCGAGAGATTCAGTCGTCCCGATCGGTCAGCCGGTTAATTGCTAGTCGGAGGCGATACTGACGCCTATGATTAGGGGACGCTGCCGTTTATGTCGCTGAGGGTCAACCAGTACATCTTTACGATGCTAAACTATCGCACTACACCTGTGGATGACCTCGAGTCCTTCATGCATGTTCTTTATTGGACCGTGCTCGACATCGGCAAGCGCAAGGGCATACTCTCGGTGCAAGAGAACCTCTTTTTTACATGGTACAATGCCCATGACTTCGAACGCAATCAACTCCGAGAAAAGGCGTACGAGAACCTTGGCAGGATGAACCTCACGATCGTCGAGATTTTCAAGGAATTGTTCATCGGCTGGCGGGCCGTCTCTTTGGAAGCGTCGAACAAGGTGGACGAATCTCAGTGGGAGTGGGGTTCCATTCCCGACCTTTTTCGAGAAAGTATGCTGAAATACCTCGCGGCGGGGTACGAGCATCTCGCAATGCTGCCAGAAGGAACTTGGGACACAATTCTTGGAATCGTTCCAGCTCCCTAGCCTGCATGGGATATGTTCCGGTCACCGCACCGCCAGGCTCAGTTTGGAGGATGTTCATAGCAAGATCCTGTGAAGGGATTCACAATATGATCATATAGGACAAGCCGTCGATTAGAGTGTTTTCGGGATAAGATGTATGTTGTACATGACTTGCGCAGACTCTCACGTCATGGTAGAGAGTATGTTCGTAGCAGGGAATATATTATGGGGCGAGTCAGGTTACCCATTGAAATGTCATGAAACATCTTGGAACTTGCGGGAAGAGACAAATACATATATACCCCAAGTCAGTCTAATCATATCGAGCAGTATATTAGACCGGGACGAGGTAATTACAAGCAAGCCTTGGCATACCCAATCCCTAGATTCTTTGGTCTAGGACCAACTAGGTCCGACATCGTGCGGTGCAACCTATGGAGCCATGGAGCTGAATGCGCTGACGGAATATACACCTGATATCAATCGGAAGCCACTGGGACAGTCGAGTTCCTCGAGGAATGACCGGTGAGTCAGTTCGATGAGGATTGCTGAGAACTAGAAAAGCAGGATAAAAGCGGGATAAAAAGGATCACGAGGATGGCGGTGTCTACGAAAGGCCATTTGTTATGAGCAGTTCAGAGCACGGGCTAATCAACAATAGTACAAATGTCGCTAATCTCCGAGGGAGTTCAAAAGGCTATTATTGTCTGCGGACGATATCATTCGATATCTTCATCGTTGGGTGATCCCCGTATGCGCCTCTCACTGCCTCCGGGTCACGTGCGCACGGTGAGGACTCTAGCTACAAGTCCCACCGTCACAGATTCACCAATCGAACATCAACATATACATTTATGACATTGGATAATACAAGATAAACTGGAGTTCCATAAAGGGATGCATGTAAAAAAGGAACGACATCTTGGTCCGTAACAAATAGTCTCGTTGGAGAGAGCGATTCAATCGTGTTCGGATTCAACCAAAGAATTTAGGCGAGAAGTATCCCGCTAGTCTCTTGGCGATAAAATTCGAGAGTCGGTCGCCTAGAAATGGGCAACCTTTTTCCTGTCGATATCGCCTGAAAGCTTCTCTCCGAGCCTTGTCATATGCCGTACGGGCCGCACTGCTTGTGTAGATCTCGATGCCATATTTCAGGGTAGTCTGCGACAGTTCCGAATCGGCGCCTTGAGAATTAACACGATCGTCCGTTTCCATCGATGTAGACTCAATCGAAGGGAGAATGTTCGACTCGGTAAACGGCTCAGTGGCTTGGATCGTTTCTAAGTTGTTGTTGCCAGGCACTGTCCGAGCGTACAGTTGTTCGTGCGTATTCGCGGGTCCCGCTTCGCTGTCATAAGGTGGGGGGGTAGACATCTCCATATAGCTCCTCGCCTTCCTTGTCGACTGCTCTCCTCAATATGAGAATCTCAGCCAATCGACACTCGATTGCAGTTGCATACGCTGGTGAAATCGGCTTGGTAGCTCTGAGAGTGTCCGCCAAAGCATCTAGACGCCGTTGTATATCTGAAAGTCCTTTATGCGTAGATACGGGCCTATGGGAGATTATTGGGTAGTGGACATCGCCCTGGTCTAGTGTGGTGTCTGGAAAAGGGTCGATAACGGAATTGGACGAATCCGAATCCTCCGTGCTCATCCGAATGCCTTTCCTGCAAGGCTTGACAGTACCCTCTTCACCTCCATCTACACACGTGAGTGCGCCGCTCAATGCAGATGCTGATATGTTAAGGGAAGGGGATAGCACGTCGACCAAAAAGAGGCGTCACGTGTTTGCCTGCTGGGTTCCAGAGGCCACGCTTGGTTGTACAGACATAGGTCATCCATGTCAGGTTGTGGGATTTCCATGGGATCAATGTCCACGCAGGACAGCTGCTCGAATTTTGCTTCGTCGGCAGGCATGCCGTTGGATGGATTGGTCTCCACGTTGAGGAACAATGAACCCGAACTGCAATTCTCGCGATCGGATGGTCCGTCTAGGATGTTGGCAGATACTGAATGACGGTCAGTATTACATGTATTTGGGAAATTGAGCGGTGTACCGTCAGTCGGCAAATCATCTGCACCATCTATAGGAAGCTCGTCGAAGGGTAGCTGATCACCAGATGTGTTATCCGTGTGCATGACTACTGTAGACCAAATATGATATATCAGGTTAGATGTTGACAAGATACGTGAATGTAACGGTACCGACCTTCAGTTACTTAGGCGAGTATATGTAGCAGGTGCTGAGGAGGTATGTTTGATAAGTTTGATAAAAGTCAAGAGGAGTTGAGGATATGTGGTGGCACGTAGGGAGGCTTTTGGCCTCGCATGCTGTGCACATTTGATATGTTCCGTCTGTACGTTTGTTCAGCTTTTAAATGAAGGTAATGTCCTGTAACTGGCGTATGTACAAGTGGCCTACAATTTGTGTAAGTACATATGAATGTTTTGATCATTTAAGTTGAACGTTTAGGAGGATTTGGCTGTCTCGATATGGAGTATGCGCATCCTTCTCCGAGTATAATTGGTCTCTGAACATGGGAATAACAGCTTACAGTATGCGAACAGGTATTCTACACGGATGGATGGCGCTCTAATTGTTTCCACTCACCGGGCCACGACATTCACACCAGCTTTGTTCTGCAACCACCATGAACAATCTCGAGTCCCTCAAGAAGTTTTTCTTCTCCGCCAATCAGACGAATCGCGACGTAGAACTTTTGCCCACGACAGCACCTACGGCTACGACTACAGCGCTAGGAGGTTCAAGTCTCCCAGATGTTGGTGAAGGAACGAGTTCAGCGTCAACATCCACACCATTCTGTTCCCTATGGTCTGGGGCGAGGAAGTGTCAAGCAAAGGGCAAGGAGCCTTTGCTTCCTACAACTTCGTCCACTCCAACGGTCTATCATGCATCCGCTATGGCGAGCTCTCTCCTCGATTCCCTCACTGGTCATGTCGCTGCGCTCTCCACTCTTGCCGCCAACGAACTCACCGCGATGGACGGAGGACCGAGCATCAGGGGCGGAACAGGAAGATGTTGCGGACAAAAGAGTGGGAACGCGGCAGGTGGAGCATGGGACTTCCTCAGTGAGAGCTGGACGGCATCGCGAACTCGTTTCGTTGCCTGCCGAGGCTGAGGAGGGCGGCAGTGGATCGGTGCGTCTGTTACGTATCTAACGAAACTCTAAGCTGATTGTGTACTTCAGAATATGAGAGTATCGAATGGTGAACCGGGTCATGTCGAACAACCGTATTGGGGTCTGTTGCCTCCCGGTGTCAAACGCGTTAAAGAAGCTCAGGCGCATATTGGCCGGCGTGCAGCAACTAACTTCGTCGACATCATCTATGGAGAAATCAGCGCCTTCGGCATGGGCGGGTGGGACGTTGTTAGCTCCACTATGGTATGGGGCTGGAGGGTGTTCCCGTGGATTGGTGGAGTGTTCTCGCGCCTATACCAGCGAGGATTCGACCTTCGTCTCTTGTCCTCGGCTGTTACAGGCTCCATTATCATGGTAGTCGTTCTGGTCGTTTGCATCGCCATCGAGATCGTCCACCGTGGTGCATCCTTCTTGTGGTTCTACAGGGTTATGGTGGTGGCCGTAGTCGGTAAGATCTTCTTATGCTCGACGTTGTTGTTCGTGTACTGATGAGAGATATAGTCTTCGTGGTCATCATGGCGAAGGTCGCGGACGTGGCCGTTTCGAAACTTCTTATAGGTGTCTTGAAGGTGGTACCGGAGTTTTTGAAGTGGGGAGGAGTTCTGTGAGAATGTCTTGTTAGCCTAGCCTATGCATATTCCCTTTCATAGAGTTACCCGCCATATGGTTAATTATCATGATCCTCTGCAACTCGAATTTAGTCTGTCTTTCATCTTTTAATCGATCCTATGTTCTATTATGGGACTTAACTACTGTAACGTAACCTACGCACAAGAGCTAGGGTTTTGCCGGCGCTCAGCACGGCCCCTTTCCACAGTTGCTGAGTGCACGTTGGGTCGTGCCGATGTGATCGGCGACAGTGTGTGATCGTAAATCGCGGGAACGGCATCCTGGCCGCCCGTCGACGGAGATGTGACAAGGACTGTAACACGAGGCACATCCGCAGAACAATGAGAAGATGGGGTGGGCGAGCAGGGTCGTTCTCAGGTTGGTGAAGAACGTCCAGTCAGTTGGCAGTTGGCCATTCTGCCATTCTGTGCAGGTGCAGTGCACGGAACGCATGGGTACGCCGCCCGGTGATACGGCTTTATAAGGTGAGGGAATAAACAGACGCTGGGCCCTGTTCCCGTACTGTTCCGTGTAGATCTCGTCCAGGCACGAGCAGATGCCGCGGCAACTGGGCGGCACTGTAAGTTTAGGACAGCATTGTTTACCGCAGTGATATCTCTCGATATGGTATGGTGCAGTATAGTGCAGTGTTCGATCTTTGTAGCGGTTGGGATATCGGTATGAGGGATAATTGTGTGGAAGTTTTCCGATGGGATCGATCGGTGAAATGATGTTCGGAGCCGAAATGGTTGGAATCCGTCAGCGGGTGCGGGCAAGAGGGGACAAGCGCCTTCTATGGACAAAGGAGAAGTTCGGTGTTATTCTTTCTTCTAGGGGATATGGAGATTCTCGGGATAATGTAGGATGAATGTTGACTTGTGCGCGTGGTCGTACGAGAGGGTTGATCCGTTGTTCATGGAGTGCAGGTGATGTGGCCGAGACTGTGGATAAAATGCGGACGATTACTCAGGGGTAGCCTGTGTTTTCTTAGAAAGGTAAATTGTGGATGATGGTAGTGAATGCCAGCAAGGAGAATGCCGAAGTAAAGTGTTACATGTGGAGGTAAAGATTATCTGAAGATTTAGACTAGCAAGAGGGAAAAAGAAGGAAGTCAAGTCAAATAATATTTCTTTTCTGTGACAGCTTAGAGTGCACTGCCACCAAGAATGAGCCATTTGTTATCCCATCACAGTGATCCCCGCGCTATTCCCTCTCACTACTGCACACGCCCTCAACTCATCGTACAAAGTCTATTGTACCCTTCCCCCCCCCTCTCTCTCACACCTCGACAACCATCTGGGCGGCACGCTCGACGACGACAACGACGACGACAAGCTCACACTATCCCATCACCACGTCGCCAACAAAGGCGATGGAGTGCCAGCAGCAGCCCACAGCGCATGCGCTCCGCATCCCCTCTTGCCAGCTGAGCATCAGCACAATCGCCTCCTCTCAGCGGAATACCATGACACCTCAGCAGGCGTCTCCTGTTAGGAGCACTCTCCTCCATTCATCACCCGCGCGCAATCACGTCGCCGCATCATATAGGACCGCGTCATCTTCTACCATATCCCCTTCCTCCACTGGCGCGCCTACTCCCGTCACGGCCCCA